GCCATAGTTAAACCAAAACCTTTTTCGCTGAGCAAGTTAGGCAGAGAAGATTTGAATGGGAAGTGAGGGGGCAAATAGCCATTACGAATAGAAAGGACCACCCATTCGGGCACCCAATCATCGGCGGTAATAAAAAAATGTTCGGGGGTCTCTTTTGTTCAAGCTAGCGCGCAAATAGGTCCGACTGGGAATTGGGAAATCGTAGGAGTACGGTACCGGGAGCGCTATCTACCTTTCACCAAAGGATGTTGCCTGAGCTCGCCAATAAAAATAAAAGCATCACTTCGATTTTGGGCGTGTTCGCCTTGTAAAAATGTATCCAAAACTTGGATTTCCAGATTTTTCTGCCCACCCCCATGCATCTACATCGAAGGCGAGGGCTGGAAGGAGAAGAAGGTGGCCGTGCAGACACTGTATAAGGAGTGGCGGGTAGGCGCATATTTTGAAAATTCGCTTAAAAGACATTCTCCTTCCAAATTTTTGAAATCGGCCCACGCTACAACCGCGGTGTTTCCTAAAGCGTGGATGTGGCCCGTTGGGGGGCCACACCCGTCTCGATCACATCAGCCTGTTGGCTGATTGGCTTTGTGTTCGCTTGCCGCGCAAAAGGTCCGGGTTCGACCATAGCCGTGACGTGGCTTTTTGCTTTTGCATAAAAAGCTCGGAGTTGGAGTTGGAGTTGGACGCATTTAGTCTTTTTCCTTACAAATTGTCAAAATTTACATCAAAAGATCACCCGAGAAATAACCCAAATACAATGCACAAACCGACATATAAACACATTTCAACATTACGAAATTTCGACACCATGATAGCCAATTGCTTTTAGTTGCATCAAAAACGTGCCAACCAATTGCCTGAATACACGGCTGAACAAGAAAAACAACAGGAAGAGCAGGTTATACCAAAATTAATGCTCTTACATCCCAACATTTAGGCGGCGGAATTGGTGTCGTACATTGGCATCGGCGGCTCCTCAGAACAAGACCGTCAGGCCCTCGATTTTACGAATGGGAAGGTGAGCTGAAATTTGGATCATTATAAACTGTTTTTGAATGGTTATAATCGTAAAAACCTTACAAATTTTTGCGAAAAAATAGAAAAATAGGAAATTGTCGACCAAAATTTCCGATTTTCGCCAAAAAAAAAAATTCAAAACTCGAAGTTTTTTAGATGATTTTCTATTTGAAATATAGCTAAAAATTACTAAAACACTATTAAAATACCTACGTTAAAACGTTAATAGGCGCTTCGCGTAAAAAATATTTAAATGCAAAAGAACCAAGTAAAGTACTTAAATTTTCGGAATTCTGTAAAAGATTTCCCCCCCCCCGATATTGCACAAGAACTGACATTTTGTTGTTTTAAAGTCAATCGGGTATTCTTAGGACTACTGCGCGGCGAAAACGCTGTACATCTCCGACGCCGACAAGCGCAAGTATTTTGAGCTGAACGTCGCCTTCTTCTACGGGTGTCACCATCAGATTGGCAACTTTGCCAGCCAGAGGATTAAGGTTTGTAAAGAAATAGCGAATAAAACCTAAATTCCCCACTTTCAGGTGATCAGCAAGCCGTCAAAGAAAAAAGCAGTCGATGAAGAACACGGATTGCAAGTATTTGTGCATCGCGTCGGGGACAAAGGTATTTTTTATTCTCTTATAGAATTTTTTTGTTATTATTTTATTTTAGTATTAACGTTTAATTGATTGTATTATTTTCGTCCAGGTAGCGCTATTCAATCGGTTGCGCTCCCAAACGGTGTCCACACGCTACCTCCACGTCGAGAACGGCGCTTTCCACGCGTCATCGTCAAAATGGGGCGCGTTCACGATCCATTTGTGTGAGTTTTAAGTTTAAGCGGGTGTTTTAAATGGCGCAGATTTATCAGATTTAAGATATACAGTTTTATTATTTTACTTATATTAAGCAATTTTATTATATGTTTAGATTCTTTCGCATTGTCGGGGGGGGACCAATTATTTTTTATGTCGAGAATTGTCTAGTAATAGAAAAGTCAATTTAGATAGTATTTTTAGTAAAATATAACGATAATTCCAAGGGAAAATGTCTAAAAAAATTTTTTTAATTCTAAAAAAAATCTAATTTTGGTCGAAAATCAACTTTTTTTGCATTTTTTGGTCCAAAACCGTAAAATTTTTGCGTTCAAGAATCTTAAAAAAAGTATAAAAACACTTTAAGTATTTATATAGATAAACTGGGTCCAAAAAAAGTTTGTCTCCCCCGATAGTGCAAAAGCACCCAATTACCTATTTCTTCAGACAACGACGACCCGTCGACCGCCGAGTCGGCCGACTTCAACGTGAAAGACGGGTACATCTACTACGGGGCCGTCGTCAAGCTGGTCGATTCCGTCACCGGAATCGCGCTTCCAAAGCTGCGCATCCGGAAGGTCGACAAACAGCTCGTCCAGCTCGACGTCGGCGTGGAGGAGCCGGTGTCCCAGCTGCACAAGTGCGCCTTCCAGATGGTGGACAATGAGCTCGTCTACCTCTGCCTCAACCACGACAAGATCATCCAGCATCAGGTGCGGAATTTTGTGGCTTTTCGGAATATTAAACATCTTCCAGGCCACCCGAACCGATGAGCATCACCACCAGATCAACGACGGGGCCGCGTGGACGATCATTTCCACGGAAAAGGTACACATTTGCTCGGGAAATATGAGTTTCACCCTCTTCCAGGCCGAGTACGCGTTCTACGAGGCGATGGGCCCGGTGCGCGACGTGGTGACCCCGGTTCCGGTGGTGACCTCGCTGGACATGATGCAGGGCGGCCACGAGAGCCCTCGTATCGAGCTGCAGGGCGTCAACTTCCGGCAGAACATGAAGATCTGGTTCGGCAGCACGCCCGTTGATACCATGTTCCGGTGCCTTTTTTGAGGAAATTCAGATTTAAAAATTTCGCAATGTAGATATTCCGGTTCTGGTTCGTTAGCGGGGGGGGGCTAGGTCGAAAAATCCATAAATACCAGGCTTTTCCAGTTCGGACGAATCGCTGACGTGTATCGTCCCGTCGTTAGCCGTGATTCGCGAGGATTTCGCTGATGGCGACATGTTTGATGTGAGTGTGAGGCTCTCTCCTCTCCCTCTCTTCCTCTCTCTATCTCTCTCCCTCTCTCTCCCTCTCTCTCTCTCTCTCTCTCTCTCTCTCTCTCTCTCTCTCTCTCTCTCTCTCTCTCTACAAGCGTCCGATTTTGACTATCAGAGTACACCCTGTACATGGAATCCCCATTTTCCAGGTGCCCATCTCGCTTGTCCGTGACGACGGGGTTATCTACTCCACAAACATGACCTTCAGTTATAAGGTTCGTTAAAGGAATTTTAAATTTAAATTGCTCTTAAACTAGTTTTCAAAAAAATTTGAAATTAAGCAAAAATAAAATCCTTTCAGTCTGCTCACCCGCTGGCCCGTGGCTATCGCTGCTGATGCTCCCCGTCAAAATTGAGTGCCAACCCTAGATTGCCAACCCAACACGATGTTTGAGTGCCTTGTAAAGGAAAGCCAAACCTATTTTTTCCTTTAGTTTTCCCTGATTTCGTCTACTTCTCGCCGCTATCCCCCCTCCCTTTACCTGATGTCAACGGGTGTCAAAATCAGCCAAAATTACCCCCCTTTTCTACCCCCTTTAATACACATATTCCTCTGCATTGTCCCACGGTCGTCCGGTGTTACTGTAATTTAATTATGCAACGAAGCCCTGTTTTTGAAAGTTAAGCCTCCGGGTACTGGTGCGTTAGCGGGGGGGGGAGGGACAATTTTCTTTAGTCTCTATATCCTACAGGCTAAAAATAAATTATTTTTCTAATTTTTTTGAAGTTTTGGATGGCTAAAAATCATAAAAACTATTTAGAAAAATTTTTTTTATTTTTACTTTCTAATTTTAACAATTTTTTCATTTAGAGGCTAAAATTTGCTAAAATTTACACGATTTTTTAAGCTTTTCAAGATTATCAGCCCCCCCCGCTAACGCACCAGTACCCAGAAAAGACGTCTTACCTATCTGGGTCTTATTAATCCTCTAAAGCATTTCGAATTTCTATAAGAAAAAAAATCCGCAAAGCGATCTCCCGGACAACATTTCGACGCCCCTCTACTAGTAGTTGTTCAGGCAAAAATTAAATGTTCTCCCCGCCGCGTCTGTATTCGATGCTTTCACCATGTGCTTTTCTTGGACCTGCAATAAAGTGTTATATGTATTTTTCGCACTTTTTATTGTTCTAAAATGCAGTTAAAGCAATCACAACATACATTGGTAGATTCGGGCATGAGAATTTGCATATTTGGGGGTATTATCCTTAAGCGTAAACGTCAAAACCACGACAGTGATAATGCCGACAGGCTATAATGCCGACAATCATAATGCCGACAGGCCAGAATCCAGACAGTTCCAATGCCGACAGCGAAAATGCCGACAATCATAATGCCCGCATTCCGACTAGTTGGTTGTCGGTATTTTGGATTGTCGGTATTTTGGTTTTCGGGATTTTGCCTACTCCATATATACATTTTTTAAGGCACAAATAAAGCATAGGAACAGACACGTATATGGACAAATAGACTGCGAAATCAATAAAGGGCGTGAAATCAATAAAAATTGGGGTTTTTAAACGTTGAGGTATCGGGGAAGTTAACAACTTTCTGGTAGAAAAAGTCAGATTTTCCTGATAAAAAACTCCGCATGTCCTGTAATAAAAGGACATATTTTTAACTTTGTCTAAAAATTTGGAAAAATTAGGTTTTAAGAAAAATCGAAATTTAAAAATTTTTACAACATCTTAATGGCAAAATTTGGCCGATTTTGAACGATATTTACAGCTTGGAATGACTGTTATGCGCAGTTTTGAATTTTCGCACTCAATTTTGGCACTTTTCTACTAACGGGGGGTATAATGGAGCGGGAGAAGGTTAATATCAGAGGCGTTACAATATTCAATTTTGACACAATTTTGCGAGCTTTTTTAAGACTATTTTTAACTTTAGCTATTCCCACGTCCCTTGTAGAATCCGCCGCCCGTCGCCTCGGCCAGCGACACCCTGGAGTTGTCGACGATCGGCGATGATCGCTGCGGGACCCCGGGCCACCGCAGCCCCCACCAGCGTCTGCCGACGGGTTGATCAGGTTGCCGAGCACGGTGAGCGCGCCGAGCATCAGATTCTCGCGCTCCATCCCCTCAACCCCGCCGCCGACCATCGGTCCCTCATCGCCGAAATCCATAGGGGCCAGGCCGACCTGGAAATCATTTTGATTGCTTGAATTAACTGGAAAATTTGTTGAAGGGGCTAGATTTTTTGGTTCTTATTCATTATCGGGGCGGGGGGAAGGGATTTGTTACGATCCAATTTCCTTATAAAAATCGAGATAGTCTTTTTACACCGTTTCGCGCTATTTCCAAATTTTCAGAAATTTATAAATGGGTACTAAAAATAGAAAAATCTATTTTTTTATCCAAATGCAAATTTTTCTCAGTTTTCCTAGTTTTTTTTCAGTTAAAATAGAGCTAAATTCTACCAAAAAAAACCAGGTGCTACACTACTAGAGATAAATCAGGTTTTTAGGCAAGAGCTCCCCCGATAATGGGAAAGAACAGGAAAATTTATCGCTCGCGATCTAAAGATCTTGGAAATTTGCTAGATGCTCAACGTAGTGCAAAAATTCCTATTTTAGGCAAGGCACCTGAACGGTCACTAGAACAAGTTTGCATCGCCGCTAGACGCCCTCTAACGGCTTGAGGGTGTACTTAGGAATGCCGCGGAAAGTGGCTACAATAATGTGTCACCAAATCTACGACGTACTTCAGCCTTAAAAGCTATGGAAAAGTAATCGGACCTTGCAAGAATTTCTTTAAAAAACTTTGGAACCTTTAAAAGCCAATTTTTTGTAATTTTTTAGACCCGGTCCACCACCTCACACGTCCGCCAAAGCCAAATTCCTGTCTTTAGATCGTTATAATGTTATGGTTAGTACGCGAATAGCCACCCGGAGACCATAGGGGCTACCGCTGGACGACGTGAACCGTCCACCGTCCCCCGTTCATCCAGCCCATACCCGGGTGCCAGCCACCGCCTGAAAGCGTGCACTTTAGCCGACAGGTTTTCATCAGCGTAACCAATTTTTGCTGTTTTTGGAGTGATTCTAGCGGAATATCCATACTTTTAACCATGAGCCGGGGCGTGGAAAGAGATAGAGAGAGCGAGAGAGAGAGAGGGAGCCGAGAGAGAGAGAGCGGCGCAGTGAGAGAGAGCGAGAAAGAGAGAGCGAGGGTGAGGGAGACTGAGAGAGCGCGCGCGAGAGAGCGCGCGCTAGGAAAGAGCGAAAAAATAATATTTTCGTGCTTACAGGCGGATTTTTAATCGTTTAAACTGTAGGTGAAAGCCAGCAAAACTTGCCTCCCATCATTGGCATCCCCTGGCTGCCGTACCCATAATTCCCACCATAATACCGCGGTCGACCCCCAGAAGCCCATCGGCTGTGGCATCATCGCCGGCGCGTTCCTAAATCGTGCCCCTTGGAAAAGAGCGTCGTTCCTCCTCACCAGCCCCTTGATACGGTGCATCGCCAGTGATCGACTTCAGCTCGGCCATCCCGCCCGCAGCCACGGCAATTCCGACGAGGGTGCAGAACACTAGAAACGAGGTGGTACTGGTGTGTTGGCGGGGGGCATTTTACGATGCAACCTAGAGTTTGATTCCCCTACTCAAAAAATTCCGCACCTTTGAAGCTATTGCTTTTTCTAATTTTCAAATTTCTTGTTACTTTTTTGCATTATCGGGGTGGGAGAGAAAAGTTTTCCTTAAAGTTCAATTTCACGTTTGGTATAAGTACAGGAAATTTTTATAACCTTTCTCCCAACAAAGGTTTCTCTAATATACAAAAATATTAATTTTACGCCCCTAATTTCAAAATTTTCAAAATTTCTAAGGATTTTTAAATAATTTTCCAACTAAAAATAACTACATCTTGCAAAAACAATATTTAAATACTTAATCTTACGTTGCTAGGCATTTCTATACCTCGTTGGAAAAACTGGGCGCCCCCGATAATGCGAAAACTCCAGCTAAAATGTATCTTATGAGTTAGAGATTAAGTATGGCCTCAATAAGCTCCCCCCGCTAATGCACCAACACCAAAAATCCCGAAAATCTCCAAGATACTGCCTCACCTATCAAATTGCGCATCGTCGTATCAGGCTAGTATCGTAGCTTAGCGTACAGTACCCCGATTGCGTTGTTAGTAGCCGAATGTAGCCGAAGAAGACGCTCTTGCTCTTCCCGTTGAAGTGGTAGAGGAGGTGTTGGAGGAACTGGTATTTGAGGGTGAGGTGAAGATGGGCAAGTTGTATTTGGTTGTGGATGGGAATGAGCTGAGGGAAAAGAGGAGGGATCACAGGGGAATTGAGGGGGGCGGTCCTCGAATATTTGGCGAGTGAAAGGGGAGGGACCGGCCATCTCAATCCGCCATTCATACCTCCAAAAATCCCTCAACCGTATTCGGACTATTGACAAATCCGCGGATTTGAGGTTGAGCTGGCCCGATAAGCCAAACCGGATGGTACGGGGGATTACGGTGGAATACGGTGTGGTACGGCGGAGTAGGGTGGCGTACGGTTGAGTGCCGGGGAGTACGGTGGAATAGGGTGGAGTACGGTAGGAGTAAGGATCGGAACACGTTGGGTACGTTGGAGTGCGACAGGGTACGGTAGAGGAGTATCACTGGGGACTCAATTTTCGTATGATTCCGGAATTTCCAGAACCCTATTGTCAATGTTTTCATTGTGTGTTTGGTGGGATTTTATTAAATTTCCGAGTCGAAAAGCTATCCAAGGAATCCAAAAACAAATTAAATTCGGCTCAAACCCCTATTTTTTTGCTTTTTAGTAAAAAACTGTAATTTATAAGTGTATACGTTGAGCAATATGCAAAGCAATTTAGCACTCTTTCTCATTTTTGGGAGAAAAATTGTTTTGTTGCGCCTTATTCATTCATACACTTTGCATACAGGTGTCGTCCGGAAGAATGGGCCTGTATGTGGCAATGAAACTCCACGAGATTCCGATTTCCATACCCCCGAACGACCTTGCCCAGAGGGCGTTGTGGAGCCGAGGAGAATCCACGCGGGGATGCGCCCCATTTATAACGAGCTTTTCTTCCCGCTTTTCCGGGGTGATCTCTCCCTTTTCTGGACAATGGTCGTTGTACAAAGCATGCATATCTCTCTCTCTCTCTCCTCTCCCTCTCTCTCTCTCTCTTCTCTCTCTCTCGATTTCCCTGGATTGTTCCGGAGATTCCATACCCATTCCCGGGAGCTTTCTCTGAGTCACCAACCTAGAGTTACCTCACTTGTTAAAATGGACATTCCGAAACAGGAAAAAGGTGTTTTGTAGGAATCGTTCGTTTGTTAAATTCCAAATTTATTCATTATGTCCAAAACACTTAGTTATCTGGAAAGCTACAAAAGACCCGTAGGAGGGCTGAGATGAAATGCGGGAGATCGAGAAACCGTCGAGTGGAGATGATCGCCTCGCGAGGTATCCGCAAGGGAGATACTACCGATCCGTCGATGGGATGGTGGGTAGAGGCGTGCTTGGCAGTCCGTTGACGATCTCCCGTTGGGCGGTGAGCCTTGACAGGGTTGATTGGACAGTGGCAGCACCTGGAAATCATCACAATTTAAAGCTATTCTGGAAAATGCGTACCATGTCTTTAGGGGGCTAGGAAGTCCAAAGGGCCGGTGCGGGGATCGAGAATCCAAGCAAATTACGAGCGGAACGATCCCTACAGCTACAACTTGAGACAGCCGATCCCGACACCCAAATACCGACAGCCAGGATAACCCCACTGATAAAATCCTGGCTTTAGCGAAAATCTCCAGCATCCAGATCCCGACACCAAAAAGCCTGAGCGGCTACCGTCCCGACATCCAGATACCGAAAATCCTGACATAATCCCGTGGTAAATCAGCGGTTTTCGCTTCATTGGTCCCTGGGCCGTCGGCATTTTTTTGTCAGGATTTTTAGACTATCAAGATTGCGACTGTCGAGATTTTAGACTGATTTGACTTGTCGGCTGTCGACGTATTGGATTTGTCGGGATTTGGCGTTTTCCCCCATTCAAACGGAGGTAGAGTGGTCAAAATGTCGTTTGAGAAGATTCCAGAGATTCGCAAAACCTCAAAATCACCAAAAATTCCGCAACCACAGGCGTTTGCGCCGCAAAATGAAAGGTCGCATAACGTTATCTGGCTGTTTGCTAGGAAGCTTGACGTCTTCGTGCCTTTGAGGCACGGCACTTACGTTCTTCCGTTTTTGCCTGCCGATGGGCCCGTTCGACCAGATGAGTTGGTCGTCGTCGCATCATCCATTTGAGTTGGTGAGCGATGTGACGAGCAGATTGTCGACACCTCTGCGCGTAGCTACAAAATACGAACAATGCTCAGGCTGTCACCACGGAGCCCTCGTCGTTGGGGGCTTAATTACCGAGCTTCTCCACAAGCTCCTCCCGATCCATGTCCATTTTGTCGACAGGCAGCCCAACGTTTTTCGCTTCGACAACTTTTGAGATTTTTCGCGTGGTACAGAGAGGCGTTGGAGAGGTTGTT